GCAATAAATCAAATTTCAGCTTTATTTAGTTATATAGTTGCATTATAAGAAGGATTACATTGATGGTAGAATTAAGAGTTGATTTTGACTCTCTGAATGGAAATCTTTAATTAAAATGGTTCTAAATGTTAATATAATTTAAATTTTCCCAGATTATCTTTTTAAAAAATAGCAGTACATAATCTGTGCTAAAATGTGATTATATAAGTCTCAATATGAATAACCTATCAAAGCTGTCAGATTTTAATTATTGGGAATTGATTTACAAAAATAATTATCCTCCCCATATCAGCGCTCTATAATTAACAGATACACAATGAAACTGAACAAATCTGTCTTGGATGGATTGGCTAATTATGGTCAGTCTTTGATTATATTGATTTCAGTGGCTGATAGAAAGGTTAAAAAATAGCATTTTATTTAAGATGGAAATTAAGACCCTCGATCACGACATGATCTATTCTGTCATTCAGTGCTCAAAATTGTGGACAACATAAGCCAGTTCCACTGTAAAAGAAATATTTTTTTTTTACTTCATTAAAAAACAATCTATCTGAAAGAGTCTTTTTTTGTGGATGCTAATCACTATTAGCGAGCAAGAGGCAAATTAATGAGTGCTTCTCAAACGTAAGTCTCAGATGAGCTCAGTACAGACTCCTTTTCTTTTAGTTTATTTTCCTGATTTTAAACGTGTGCAGTCTTCGTAGGATGCAGCCTTCCGTTTGAGAGGCACCCATAGATATGATTTGTTGAACTGAAAAAGGCTCTGAATGAGGAGTTGATTTCTCTCGATGGGATCAATTCCAACCTTTGGAATCAACTCTCGATTCCCAACGCCTCGGAATCTAGGAATCGATTATTTTTAGAATCTATTCCCAGCCCTAGAGGTGCAGTGGTGATGTCAAAACCCTCAACATAAATTTACTCATAAATTGAAAAAAAAAAACCTTGCAGATTCCCATGGAAAAATCTTTAAAAAATAAATAAATACGGTGAATTAGTTATATGCTAGGTGTCAGAACCCGGATTTTACATTTTCCCTTAAACTGACACATCCAATTTGGCTCAAAAATGGACAAAATACATAGTTTGGGGGACTCTAGGACAAAGGTTGAGGGTTTATTTTGGTAATTTTTTTGTAACAACATGAGTGTCAATACAGACACAATGACCCGGGGCCCGTTCTTCGTACGTCGCTTATTACATCCGAGATGAAATGTCACATCCAAGATGATATCATCGCGCTAATCAGGATCTGGCTAATTCGGTTCTTCGAACGCACCTGTTGTTGATGATTAGTATGACTGGATTGAGTTATCTGAGATAATTGTGCGTTCATGGGTTGGTTTAAAGGGGGTTATTTATCGATACTCGAAACCACGATCAGCAATGCAGCGATTGGCTGGCGGCAAGACAGCAACGTAATGACATCATATAATTAAAAAAGACACCTGACGAAAAACTTGACAAATTTTTTGACTTTTATAAGGAAACAGCCAAGCGAACAAAACTACATAAATGTTATAATAGATAAATGAAATGTGCACTCTTTTTATTTTATTTGAATTTTTTACATGATTCCCAATTATTTATATTCACGATTACTAATATTTGTACAGGCTTTACATTTTAATTTCAATGTAGCAAATAGCAATTCATTTAATTTTATATTTGAACAGATTTGTTATGTGACAGCATTAATTAAAGTTTCTTAAGGGTCAAGATCATGTTATCTGCATCTCCTGCGCTCCATCAAGCCACTCCCATAATAGCGGTCATCACTCAAATTAATACATGACTCTACATTATCTGTATAGCATTTGTGTAAGACTCGAATACAATTATGAAGTAATAATTTTATGACGAATAAATATTTCAGTGAGTAAAACTGGCTGTGTCTATAGTATTAAAGACTACACAACATTGTTATATTGATTATTCTTTTAAATTATTGTCCCTGGATTAGTAGGGTACTCTTGTAATAAAGTAGCGGTGGTAGCGGACAGATTTTAAGCATCAATTCTGCTTAAAAAGATGCGATCTTGCTATGACAGCAACTCCGGGATGAGCTTCGAAGAACCAAACAATCCAAGATCATGCCAAATCATCAACAATCAAATCCAAATAACGGCGTTAGTGACGTACAAAGAACGGTCCCCTGTTCTCTTCAGATTATCTAAATAATGCATTGTAATTTCTAGCAGTAGGAAGAATGGTTTTAAATTCAGTAGTAAAGTACAGTGTCTGTGAAGGATGTGCTTCTCTGCTGCTTATAGGGATACTTAACCCCAAAATGAAAATGGACACCATTTACTCGCTTCATGCCTTTCCAAATCCAAAAGACATTGGTTAATCTTCAAAGTGACACAACTAAAGATATGGATGTTAGAGGAAGAATGGATGAGATGGTAAAGAAGACAACAACTGTGAAACACACCGAATTATATATTTTTATTAGTGCTGACAAATGATTAATCGCGATTAATCGCATCCAAAATAAAAGTATTTACATGTATATATTTATATTCATATAAATATCATATATAAATATATTTAATATATAAACGTAACATATTTTCCTTAAATATTTACATGCATGTGTGTGTATTTATATATACACATAATAAATATACACCGTACACACACACATATGTAAACAAAAACTTTTATTTTGGATGCGATTAATTGCACTAATTTTTATTGTTACTGACAAACGGTTACCATTGTTTAGAACAAACTATATACAAGCTAAACAAGAACAAACAAAAGCAAAGCAAAGAACTTAAACATAAAATGTTAAGAACTGGTGTGGTGGGGGGAACACAAACAAACTGAACATAGATAGATGCAGACAGATAACTATTTACATCTTAGTGCTTAGCTGATTGAACCTCTAAAACACGGAGGTTGGTTAATGTGTTTTAGGATCAGTAGCCAGCCTGGAGATCAGGTCATCCACATTACCAGAATAGATGTTTTCAGGAATTACATAGACCACTGAGTAACTGGTCAAGAAGTGGCATGTGTCATGGATCTCCGAGACACTGATTATATCTGAAATCTGCTTCAGTTTCTTGGACCTGCCCCTTTAGCAATCTGTAAGTTTTACCAAAAAAAGCAAATCATTAAAAATAAATTAGTACTGGAAGTGTCAAGTGTCACGCTGCATCCCAATTCGCCTGCTTATGCTGTGCCCTAAAAGTATGTACTCTTTTTGTGAACAAAAAGTACATACTTTAGAGTGAGTAGCAGAAGAGTAGGCAAGGTTTGGGACATAACTGTCTCTTTAATAACCCGTCACGAGTCTTTTATGCGAAAAACTTCCCTCGTTCGCTGCTCCCTTCTCCGTAAGCTTGGGATATCTTTTGAAGTTCATTCACTGGACAAAATGCATTCATTCAGAATACCCTTCAACGTCACCAAACACAGAAGACGCTTGAATTGTATTGAAATGTATTATTAATTTAATATAGATTTTAATATTTGAAAGCACTAGACTAAATTATAAATGTATGTTGGGATAATTCATATGAAAATAAATGTAATTTGGTTATATTACATATCTTTTATTTAACCATAATCATGATATTGTAACTGTTGTGCTCGCTTTATACCCACAAACAACTGCACGTAAATTATGACTGGATTAATTCAACTTAATAGTAACAGCGGAGCCTCAACATCTTTTCACTGTGTTAATTTTAGACAAACCTCTTACAGTGTGTGGTGACAGGAGGGTAAATTTCCCTCTCAACTTCCAGTGAAGTGATGTATTGACCGTCCCTTATTCCTGATTATACCTTTCACAGTGCACTTTAAACTATTTTGTGCCTCTTCCGCAGCTAACCTCGTATACATGATTTACTATCTACAGATGTTTCCTAAAACCGCAACACAGCTCTTATTATTTCCCCGACACATTCATGGTAATTAATTTTGCTGGGGCTTTGCGGCAAGCTTTAGCCTATTGCATGCATTTGAACACAGATCTCTTCAGCTGCGCTGATGGACACTAAACAGAGCCGCTCTTGACAGTCGCTGTAGCACGGTCTCGTGTTGTTTCCACCAGTGCTGCAATTTTTTTTCCTCACTGATTGATGGATGTCTAAAATATAAAAATTACGAGAAGCCTAAAACAGGCCCGAGGTTTTCTGTACCCTTCCCCAGATCTGTGCCTCGATACAATCCTGTCTCGGAGGTCTACAGACAATTCCTTGGACTTCATGGCTTGGTTTGTGCTCTGACATGCACTGTTAACTGTGGGACCTTCTTGTCCAATCAACTGAATTTACCACAGGTAGACTGCAGTCAAGTTGTAGAAACATCTCAAGGATGATCAGTGGAAACAGGATGCACCTGAGCTCAATTTTGAGTGTCATGGCAAAGGCT